ATCTAATCTAATCTAATCTAATCATCTATCAATCTTAATCAAATTTAGCAAATGTTTCTTTTTACACAAAAATATATTTTTCCAGTTTGGGCAAATTCCATTGATTTACGGTGACAGAATCTAATCCTCATCTGAATTTGGCCAACATTTCAGAATGAATAATTTTGTCCGGTGGGATTATTTAATTTTTGCTTTGTGGATTAAAATAATAAAAACAAATCTGACTCTCATCTGTGTTGTTTGTGCTTCAGGAGCTAAAAGAGATGTTGGAACGACATCGTTCTCAGAACGAGGCATGGCTGCGAGCGAGAGCCGAGGAAAACGACCGAGAGAGGAGGGAGCTCTACAGACTCAGAGTCTGTAAACAAACAAACAAACAAACAAACAAACAAACAAACATGTTTGTCTTCAGAACACATCACATTCACATTCCCTCTAAAGTATGATCAGTCCAAAAAGAAAACACAGATTAAGAGGATGTTTTTTTTATAATGTAAATGAGAGAAACATGATGAGGCGTTCCACAAGGTCGTGTACTCAGTCCAGAAACATTTCTTTTTAAAGTGCTGCTTTAATTTTAATTTCTCTAGTTGTTTGCTCTGCTTTCCTGTTCTACATTTGTTATTTTAGACGTGCAGCACTTTGACTAACACGTGAGACATTTTTAAAATAAGTGATGTTTTTGGTCTTTTCTGAAGGAGGAGGTTTTGCAGGACCAGGAGAGGCTGAAGGAGGAGCAGATCAGCATCCAGAAACGGAGCGAACATCTCCTCTCCATCATGCAGCAGTTCAAAGGAATGTGAAAAAAACCAACATTCTGATTTATCAAAGCATAAAACTGTTATGACAAGTCTGTGTTAATTAATTATGTAAATGTGAAAAAGACACAAAGTCATCATAAAGTTATAATCAAAACCCCAAAAATACATTTTTATCCTTAAATGTATTAATATAKGTAAAGAGAGGCGCTTTGTTGTATTAAAGTGAAAAACTTAAAATAAATTAAAGTATTAAAGACAAACACACTAAGTGTTGGTTTGAAAATGACTGTTTTTCAAAAATATTCATTGACATTATAACAAAACCGCAAAATGAACGGAAAACATCAAGAAATAACAAAACTCACTGACTTCAATTGTGTCTGAATTTTCTCTTCAAAACTGTCTGTCTCTCAGTCTGTCTCTCAGTCTGTCTGTCTCTCAGTCTGTCTCTCAGTCTGTCTCTCAGTCTGTCTCTCAGTCTGTCTCTCAGTCTGTCTCTCTCTCAGTCAGTCTGTCTCTCAGTCTGTCTGTCTCTCAGTCTGTCTCTCAGTCTGTCTCTCAGTCTGTCTGTCTCTCAGTCTGTCTCTCAGTCAGTCTGTCTCTCAGTCTGTCTGTCTCTCAGTCTGTCTCTCAGTCTGTCTCTCAGTCTGTCTCTCAGTCAGTCTGTCTCTCAGTCTGTCTCTCAGTCTGTCTCTCAGTCTGTCTCTCAGTCTGTCTCTCAGTCAGTCTGTCTCTCAGTCAGTCTGTCTCTCAGTCTGTCTCTCAGTCAGTCTGTCTCTCAGTCTGTCTCTCAGTCAGTCTGTCTCTCAGTCAGTCTGTCTCTCAGTCAGTCTGTCTCTCAGTCAGTCTGTCTCTCAGTCAGTCAGTCTGTCTCTCAGTCAGTCTGTCTCTCAGTCAGTCAGTCTGTCTCTCAGTCAGTCTGTCTCTCAGTCAGTCTCTCAGTCTGTCTCTCAGTCTGTCATTCAACAGAAGGACGGGTCACTTTTCTGCAAGGAAAAACAGCGTAATGCGCCAGTTCTGGGCTCTTCTATGTCCTCTCGGTTGCACTATTTGGCAAAGAGTGGGAGGGGCAGGGAGCGGGTGGGTGGAGCGTCAAGGTGGCGGAAGAATACCCGGAAGTGGGGCGAGCAAAGCTACAAAATAACAGCAAAAATGTTTCGGGGAAAAAAGTTCTACCAAAATAATTTTAATGGGTTCCTGTAGCTGAAAACATTATACCTGATCATTTCTTTTTCAATATGTAAGCTAAAATACTAAAATAAGCTAAAATAGCTTCTTGTTTTTACACTTTTTCATTTCAAACTATATTTAAAGCAGTTTTATCCCAGTCTTCATACGATGGATCTAAACAATGAGAGACATTGCACACATCAGTCTCCATGATTCACCTGCAGAGTGAACTGCAGAGGCTGAGAGACCTGGCAACACCAGAGGTCAGTTCATTTTACCTGTGGTGCTCATCAATTCCTCCATTTGGCTGTTTTCTGTTTGTGTGTTCGGTGACCTGTTCTCATCGTTAATAAGGTTTTATATAATTTCATAAAACAGAAAATAGGCTGATGTTTTAAGTCACATGACTGCAAGGCCCTGAAACTGAATCAAACACCAAAAAATAAAATAAATAATAAAAACAAAACAAAATAAAACTGTGACATGGGATGGTTGGAGATAGACGTTTGGTGCTCTAATGAATGTTTAATTTAATTTTCATTTTATTTTACAACAGTACATCGAAAAGTTTAATATGTGTCCCAGTATTGGAGCAGTTTAAATTTCACCTGCTATTGTTCCAAACTGGGCAGTTTTTAGCAGAGTTGTAAAGTAACTAAGTACAAATACTGTACTTAAGTAGAAATTTTGATTAACTGTTCTTTACTTGAGTAATTATTTTCAGTGTACATTTTATTTCTACTCCTTACATTTTAAAAAAATGTAAATAGAAAGTTGTTACTCCTATTTTATTCCGAGTTGTTATTATAAATAAATACTATTTTGATAAACTGTGTCTCCTATAGAGTGAATTTAATTGTGTTTGGATGAGAAGTATAAATATATACCATTCTGACACACTATTAGCT